CAGAGGAGTGGCAGGGCCCAGCCTGGTTATCAGTGGGCACCCGTGGTGCTGAGTGGCTTTTAGGGAGCAGGGAGACAGCAGCAAAGCCTCTGAGGGAGTTGTGGCTGGTAATATTGATGAGCTGGATCACAGCCCAGGTAGATATTACGGGTGTGCAAACTCCTCAGTGACAGGCGGCTCTCACTCAGGAGTGTCCACAGTTGGTTTAAGACTTTTTTTTGTTGCTGTCTTGAGATATTGTTTTTTTGGCACCAGAAATCCAACTCAGGAACTTGTGCTTTCCAGACAGGCGCTTATGCCACTGAACTGTATCCCAGGCCCTGTCTTGAGATTCTTAATAATCTTTAAACAAGCCTTGTGTTTCATTTTGTGTTGGGCCCTTCAAGTTAGCTGCCAGTCCTGACCTAAGCTGCAAACATACTTTTTTCCCATGGTGCACTGGAAGGAGATTGTACTGGTTCCCAGAGCCACCAGTTCCATCCTGAGTTTTTTTGCTCATCTTTGTAGCCCCACAGGTACACCCACCCTTAGGCATCTCTTTATCAGCATTTCCCACAGTGTGTCCCAGGTGCACCCTTGCCATGTGCTGCTGTGTCACCCCGCTGGGTCAGGGTGAGGTCCTGAGTGAGTCTAGCCCTCTGAGGCTGGAGGGCAAGGGCGAGGAAGGGCAAGGCCCAACACTAGGCCTCAGGCCTCCAAGAAAGGGAAAGACACAGAGGAAATCAGTTTTGTGGGACTGGAAAAGAAAGCCACTTGGCCTGTGGTGTGAGGGTGACAGGCTCACCACGACAGCAGAGGGCAGCGGTTCAGAGCAGTGGCCCGGGGACCTGGCTCCATGGCAACAACTCAAGTTCCAGACCAGAACCAGACCCTGTCCCAGGTGGGCAGCCACTTCCTCCCAAGCTGGGGTGGGTGGGGTGGGTGGGAGGTCTTGTCCATAGTGCTACATCCTTGGCCGGAGTCCAGGCCACGGCAGGAACCTCCAAGAGGTTGAGAAGCAACCCCACCTGCACCCCGAGGGCCAGGACAGAGAAGACGGCAGGGAATACAGTTGTCAGCCCTGATGTGGTACCAGCTACCCCAACTCCAGGCTGCTCTGGGTTCCCTTGCATTGGCAGGAGCCAGACATCCGATACACCACTGGAACCCCCTGTACAGGTCTGCATGACGGGTGGAGGAGGCCGCAGCAAGTGGGTAGAGGTGGCCTGGTGGAGAGAAGCCGGGGAGGAGGGCTCCTAAGCAGACGCCCCTCCTCACGGCCCCTGCACCTTGCAGCGCCCGCCACCCTGGAAGAGTCCACCCTTCCCTAGCAGAGCTCGAGCCTCACGGTCTAGCAGATGGAGCCACCTGCAGGCCCCCAGAAGCACTGCGGCTCGGCCCCTCACCCCACTCTAGAGGCCAAGGTCCTGCGTTCCCTGAGCACAGCACTGCCTCCCAGGCCTTCTCAAAAGTGTGCTGCGAAACTCGCACCCCCATCAGTCGAGTAGTGTGGAAAATGCCCTTGCAGATTCTCACCTTTGCTCCTGAGGTCTGACTCCATGAACACTTCAGTTCCCTAATGTGAACCTGAGGCCTTGAAAAACCTATTCATGCTACCTGTTTCCTCCTCTGCAGAATGGGACTTCAAAGTATTGCATTAGAAGAGATGATATCAAAGGTGACGAGGACTCTGAGAGTTTAATAAGAAAGCGAATCACGTGGAAGTAGGCTTAAAATAAATTCCAGGTCCCACCCCTCCAGAAAGCAGGACTTCTGCTGGATTTAGCATGCTGAGCAGTTCCCAGAGATTCTTCCCCGACAGGATGAGCAGCAGAAGACAAGGCTGTGAACACAGGCAGGGGCCAGATCGGGCGTGGAAGCCGGAAGCTGAGACTGGGAGGCAGTAGCAGCCCTGGCACGGAGTAGGGAGGCAGCTCTTTCGAGCTGTGGCTCTGACTGTGAAGGGAGCATCGATGCACGTTGGACAGTGACTGGCAGAGAGACCAGGGAGCTAATGCTGACATTGCCCAGGTCAGGGACAGTGATGTCCTGTAGCAAGTGCTAGCAGTAGAAGGGCAGGAGATGGAGTTTTCAGAAGTAAATCCTTTAACACCTTTGGTTTAACTTCTTTTTTGTTTGTTTTGGTACCAGAGCTTGAACTCATAACCTGCACTTGCCAGGCAGGCGCTTACAATGCTGAGCTAAATCCCCGGCACTTTAACACTTTTGGAATGCAGGAAGCAAACTGAATTTTTAGAATTTTATACTTTTTGAAAACTTCAAGGTGTTGTGTATGTATTATTACATAATATATTAGTACCGTGGTGCATACACAGAACTTACAAATACGGTGTGTTTCAAAATATCCTTTAGATGCAGATTCAGGGACTGAATGAGGGAAGTCAATTCCTAGCACGTTACTAAACACTCTGTCATCTGTCATAGTACACTGTTTCCCAAAGACATTCCCAGGATATCGCCTGTCCCTCAAGCTCTTTTAGAACTAGCTGTACCCCATCAAGAGGTAGTGTCTTGGGCACAGTGTCCACACCTCTAATCCCAGCTACTCAAGAGGCTGAGGTGGGAGCAACACAAGTTCAAGGCCAGCCTGGACAACTTAGCAAAAGCCATCTCAAAAGAAAAAAAAGAATAAAACGAGAGGCCTGGGGTCTAATTTCCTTCCCTTTGCTGCAAGGAACCCAAGGCACATGGAGAGACTAGGTGACCAATCCAGAGAGCCTCCCACCTGAGAAGGGACAGAAGGAAGCAGCTGTGGTGAGGCTGTTGTGGGAGGGAGAGGACAAGGTCTCGGTGCGGAGGGCACGCAGCCCCAGGGCAGCTCGCTGTCCTCAGCCCCCTGTGGAAGGAGGCAGGCGCCTCAATGGTTGCGTGGCTCTGACCCTGCTCTACCCCAGGTCACCCTGGATGAGTCTGAATCCCACTGCTTGCAGCCATTTTGCTCTTGGAAGGAAAGAGAAATGGAGGAGGCTCCACTCACACTTGAAGAGATGGGTTGTCTTCCCACCACCATCACCACCACTTCTTGGCCCTTTGGCTAAGATCAGGCGTCCTGTGGGCTCCTCTACTCTGATCTGAGGAATCTTATCATCCCCAGGGCTTGTTCAGTGGTAAAACCAGGCTATGAATGGTTGTGCTCTAAAATAGGCCTTTTGTGGGTTCAAAGAAATGAGTTAAGTGCCTATTCCTTTGTGCCACTATTTAGAGCTCTTCTGATCGAAAACCAAAAGCTCAGGCTGGTAGCAGAACCGTGAGGCAGAGAATGCATCTCTGCACAGAGAGGCAACAGCAAGGCCATGATGCAGCTCAGCAGGGAGGAAGGAAGCTGTGTCTGTGAGGCGGGCACCAAAGACAGGAAGAGGCCTGAAAGGGAGATGAGAAGGTTCTGCCGGGACTTGCTGTAAGACTTGCAGCACCTCAGTGCCTCAGTTTCCTCATCTATTATTCATTTCATAAATATTTACTGCAGGTCTATTGCTTCTCGTGTCGTTGTTCAGCTCAGGCCCAAAAGCCACCTGCGACAGCCCTGGTCTTCGCACTCGATGTGAGCACTACCCTGTCCTCCCACCCCATTCTTCCCATCTTTTCTCTTGCCAAGTCCTGCCTCCTATGCCTTGGCTGAGACAGCGCTTCCTTGCACCAGCCACCGAGTCTGGGTCTTCTTCCCAGTGGGTTTCCGAACACCGATTACTCAACCTGTGGTGACACTGAGAAGAAAGGTGAGTTCATCAAACCACACACTTCATGAGAGCTTCCACAGTGGTGCCCAATACATCTGTAAGGTTGGGGAGGTAGCTTAGTGCACCACAAAAAAAGAGGGCTCTGTACAGGAAAAGAAAGCTTAGGGGTCAGAGATACCAAGAGTTGGGGAGATATAAAAGTGGGTACCAAGTCATGGAAAAGCCATGTAAACCTGAGGACTTGATCCTGCTGACCCTGACTACTCAAAAAGTGTATCCCTCAACCCACCTACACCAGAATCACCCAAGGAATTTGTTAAAACAAAATTCTGGATAACTCTGAAGCACCTCAGCAGAGAGGTGGCAGACTCTTCTCAAAAGCCAATCTGCTTTTGAGAACTGGTAGCATGGTACCACATGGCCATCTGTGTGTGGTGCCACCTATTCCGCTATCAGCCTGCCCTTCCTCCTTGCTAACAGACTCAACTCTGTCCAGGTATGAAGCAGGTGGGCAGCAAGGCACTCAGGGTTAGGAAAGCAGGAAAAGAAAGCTTAGGGGTCAGAGATAACAAGGCTGTTATATAACAGCATCCCCAGCCTTAAGGGAGAATCCTCACTGGATCCCTTTATCCAGCTCCCACTTTCCCAGACTCCCGTGCAGCAAGAAGTGGCCAGGTGACAACTGTGACTCAGAAGACATAAGGGATAGTTTGCACAGACTTCTGGGGAAATTTGCTTCCTCTTAAATGTGGCAGCAGTGAAAGCGAAGCTGGCTGCTGCAGTCCTCTTGCTGTTTTGTCTGATGTGTGATGCCCCTGACTAGGGAGGAAGAGCCTGTGCCCAGGTGACAGGGCAGAAGGGTGCAAAGCCCTGGTTCTTGAGGTTGAGATGCCGCCACAAATCCAGAACCCTGGCACTTCCACCAGGACTTCTTGCCTTGAGATTAGATCGTGACCACCCTGAGTGCAGGGCCTCCTGGTTCTCAGGCACTGCCCTGCACTTCCTCCCTCTAAGAGAGGTCATTTTCTTCAGTGCATCTCCCCAGCCTTGTGTGGTGGGGAACACCACAGTTTTCAACAGGCAGAGGCTCCTCTGACACTGCCCACAGACACTGGCAGAGGAGGAGGGCAAATCCTGAAGCTTCCCCAGAGCCCACTCTCCAGAATGGATTTCTAGTGAGATAGGCTCTGCTCCTTGGTTCAAACTTGCTTCGGGCCATGCTCGAGTCTTCCATGTTTCCACAGACGCCACTGGACCCCATGCAGCCCTGGAAAGGCTCAGCTCCCAAGGCAAATGACAGACCAACTGAACACAACAGCAAAGTATGAAAATTAATCGAGATATTTAATAGACAGTGCAAACCATAATTTCATCTGAATATAAATGTATGCACGTTTCCAATGGGTTATCTATCAGTTATCACAAACAGCAACAAGTACCTTAGAGCTAGGTTAGAAAACTGTATAGCTGGAATTTACCTCTAACAATCTCACTTCTCTCGAGAGAACACATTCATTTTAAATCAAGTGTCACAAACTCCAAAAGACTGGGAAGCGGGAGTGAAGAGGGCGAGTGGTAAACACAGGGGCCAGTACACAGTGACAGACAGAAACACAGCTCTTAAGGAAACCAAAGCCAGCATTATTACAGCTAAGACAAGAAAAGCCTATGGCTTTTAAAAAACGACTTTCTGCCAGTACCATACAAGTCTTACAGAGATGTGTGACAGGTCAACTGACGTAGGATAGAAGCTACATTTTCAGATCATTTCAACTGCAAATGGTCAACCCTTTCCATTGAAGATTCAGCAGCGGCGTTAGCGTAGTCCAGAAGCTCAATGTTGGATTTGCAAATACAGTTTATTTTACAGAAATTCAACATTATAAACAGCAGGCACCTCCCCCCGCCCGCCCCTCCCCCCGCCCGCCCCTCTGGGCGCAGGCCATGCTATGTGAGCTGAGCAGCGATGCAGCCACTGCTTTGGAGATTCGAGCGCCGGCGGCCGCCTGCCTGCACCGTCCTGCCTGCCCGCACACGCATGTGCCTGCCTGCCCGCCAGGCCATCAGAGTCTGTCTGGGCCCATCCACTCTGGGCCAATTATATGGTTCCAGCCCAGTTCTCCAACTCCTTCATGTCTTCGTCTTCCTCTTCCTTCTTCTTGGCTGTGGGAAGACAGAAAAGGCAATTTGGGGGGTTTGCTGTAGTGCTCCTTGGTGTCCAGATAGTCCGCCCTGTACCCACCTAGCCTCTCCTCAGGCCTGGAAGCTGCCAGGCAAAGCTCCAGGATAGCTGGCTCACCTTCCACCCCAGCAGGGCCAGCCAGGTCAGGAGGGGTTGTTCTACCCCAGGGGCCTCAGCATCAGAGCACCCAAGGGCGGCGAGGTGGGGCACAGGACATGACCCTCACACGAGCTCTCACCCTTGGTAGCTTCCCAGCTCCAGGATGGGATGCCCAAACCCACCTCTGTACACCCCTCAGCTCCAGACAGCTGACTAATGGGGGGCCCTCCTCTCCACACTTAGGAAAGCACGGGGACCATGGCCCAGTCATACACTGTACCCTGGGTTCCCTCTCCATGCCAAATCGACCGTTTCTCCTTTTCTAGAAGCTTCTATGTCTACCAGGGGTGACACACTGTGGGACGGAGGGGAAGTTGCAACAGGGAGAGGGAAATGATGGTTTTGTGGAACCAGGTCTCTGCAAGAGCCAAAGCTACTGCTTTCTCCCTGGACTGCTTCTGAGACTGCAGGCCCACAGCACAGGACTCAGATCAGATGTGGGCTGCCCTGGACTTAAAACTTTCAAGCTTTTTCATGAGGCCTCAAACTTTCTCTTGTTTAATGATATAGGAAACAAACAAAATGCCTCTAAGCTAGAATAGGCTCTTAACTGGGGGGGGGGGGTGTGAATCTCCATCTCCTACCTTCAGAGGACATTTGGCAATATTTAGAAATGGTTTGGGTTGTCACAACTGTGGGGGAACGGAAGGGAGAGTATTACTACTGACATCCAGCAGGGAGAGGCCAGAGATGCTGAAAAATACTACCCCTATTCCTACCCCTGAATCATCTGTCCATGTTGAAATTAAAAAATCCTGCTAAGAGATACTAAGAAAGGGCAGATGACTGTTATCATGATCACCACAAAACATCCTATCTGGTTCTCAAAGATAAACAGATCCAAATTGAAGTCAACTGATCAAGGGCATTTATGGGGCACCAAGGGTGTGCCCTGTAGCCTCTATGAAGATTACTTACTGGGTTTGGATGGCAGGGCTATTGATGGAACATTTGGTAGAGGAACTGTTTCAGGACCACTGATCTCCAGCAAATTCTTGTCTAGCTCTTCCTGTTCAAGTGCTTCTAATTCCGCCATGAGTTCATCCTGTAAAAGGAAACAGAATGAAAGCCCTTCCTGGGAATGCTGGCCCCTCGGAGGTCAGAGCAGAAGTGAACCCTAGGGTCATACTCTCCGACTCAGACACGCTTCCACTGGTGTGGCAGTGCGATCACTGGTGTTTGTACATGCTGGGTGCCTGGACCAGGCTGTGAGTGCCTTAGGAGGAGGGTTATGTCTTTCAATACTATTTCTTTACCTTAAGTGGATGTCCTGAGTGAATGGTCGGCGATGTCTGCTGAACTGAATCAAACCTCATGAGCCCATTCAACTTCAGGCGGAAACTATGAAAGCATGGTGCTGGGAGCTAAGGGTGAGAGCTGAAGGCTGCTTTCTCATTCTACAGTGGGGTTCTGAGAGCATAAAGGTTTCATTCAGCAGAAACAGGCTGACTCTCAGGGACTCAAAACTAAGGCATAATGAAGTACCTACACTAGGAGCTGCTACTCGATTTTAAAAACCCCAAAGACTCAAGATCCCAAATTGCTACGCAACAAGTTGTAGGTAGCCAAGGTCCAGAAGGGACCCTCAGAGATCAGATGTAAATGTCCCTTCCTGGGCTCTTCCTTTACCTCATGTCAGAGCTATACAGGAAAATCCTGTAAACTTCTCCAGACTATGCTGAAGCCAGGGCCCACCATAGGGAGATGCAGGCTTATCTCACTGAAACCAAGAACTACTCTGAAGCCTGCTGAAGGGTTCTCTCACTCCGCCATGTTCCGTCTACATCCAAGTCTGGAGAGGAAAGAGTGGGTCATTTCCAACCACACATCCCTGCCTCAGAATCATCAGGAACACATCAAGGAACAGCCTATGAGGATTATGTTATCCATATGAAAGCACTTACCTCATCAAACTCTTCTCCAAACCCTACAGGTTTGGAAATAGCTGTGGAAATCTCCTCCGCAAGTTCTTGCTGGTCAGCAATATCCTGCATTAACTCATCAACTTTATTGATGTCCCTTGAAATGAACAGATTGTCATATTAGTTTATCAGTCACTGTAAAGAGAGACTGTAAGGCAAGAGTAGAAATGTAACTCCACCAACCTGCTTTCTAGGCACAGCCCCTACAATATGTGACAACCCCACTGTGAGAAATTACTGTACTTGTCACCATTGCTTTCCTCTCCCCCTTTAAAATAAAGAATCGTAGCTGGGCATGGTGGTGCATGCCTAGAATCCCAGGATTCGTGAAGCTGAGGCAGAAGGTCACCACAAATTCAAGAGCAGCCTGGGCTACATCGTGAGACCCTTCTCAAAAAATAAAAACAAACCCCAACACCCAATTCTTCACATACATGCAGGCCATTCTTCCTGCAACCTCCATTTCCAGAGAGGAAGTGATACATTTTTTTGGTAAAGGCCCTGATAGTAAATATTTTAGAATTTGTATTCTATACAGAATGAAGTAATCTTCACTCTGCTTTGTAGCACAAAAGTAGCTAGACAATAAGAAATTAATGGCATGACAATGTTTCTATAAAACCTTATTTAGAAAAATAGGCAGCAAGCTCACAGGCTGCATTTTGCCAGCTCTTGTTCTACCTAAAAGGAAGCAAGAGGAGCTCCAAATATCTCAAAATATAGGTTGCCAAGTCTAAGAACTAAAACAAATGCACAATTGTGTTCATGGGAGAGGCTCTTATTTGGGACCTATTGACCTTGGCCTTCCACTGCAATTCTAACAAGCTGGATTACCTAATTTCTTAGATAACTGCACATGAGAAAAGAGCCACCAGAGAAGGAAGGACAACTGTGGCTAAGAATGTTATCAACATAAGAGTCATAAGATAGCAAGGAAGGAGGCAAAAAATAGATTTTTAAAATCCATCAAAAGCAGACTAAAAAATCAGAAAGGTAAAAAACAAAAAACAGAGGGATCCTCAGATTCCTCACACATAGCAAGGGCTTGACATAGATGGCAAAGTCATGACCACTCACTCTAACCCCAGTTCCCTCCACAGCCACTTAACCTAGGGTGAGTCAGTGTGCCTCTCTGGGTCACAGGCTTTTCTCCAGCCTGGTAATCAGAGGCCTGGGTATGAGGACCACGAAAGTTTCCAGACCGAAATTGTACTGATCACAATAACCCAGAATCACTTGGGCATTTTTTTCATTCCATGAGATCTGTTTCCAAAGGCAATGGAGTACACACTCCAAAAAGACAGGCAGATTAAGCTCAGGTACTTGAATGATTAGTCAGGGGCTCACCCAGGGCCGAGCCTGAGTGACAGACCTTACAGGGCCAGCACTGCCCTGCCCCTGGGTCTCCTCCCCGACCCGCAGGGACACCTACATGTTGTCGTGTGCGGCCTTCATGGCCTTAGCGGCGTAGCCCATGTTCTTGAGCACCTCGGTGTTGGTGTTGGCGTTCTCCAGGGCCTCCCGCTGGAACTCGATGGTGGACAGTGTGCCATCAATCTGTGCCAGCTGCTTCTCATACCTTTTCTTGCGCTTCAGTGCCTGAAGGGCCGCTGCACAGGGGAGAAAATAGGATTTCAGAGCCCAGACACAGGATGCTGTCCATGCAATCACTGAGCCTTGCCTATCAGTTGCTGCTTCCCTTTAAGAGGGGTAAGTTCTTCTACAAGGACCACATTCAGCTTTTTAAGAAAATTCACACACCTCAATGTGCAGCCAGGAGATGAGCCCACAGCACAGTACATAATCCCTGGTAGCCACGCACACCCAAATCCACACATGCCAGGTATTCAGAGCAAGAATGAATCCTGAGGCCACTCTGGCTAATGTAGGTGAGCCAGCTTAGGATCTCAGCTAGTCTTCTTATGGGGAGTGAGACAATGCACATTTAACAAAATAGACACCCAAAAGTCTCTGGCAGCTCTAAGTATTATAAAGTAGAAGGAATTAGGCATTGTGGGGCATGCTAATAATCGCAGCACTCGGGAGGCTGAGGCAGGAGGGTTACCATGAATTAAAAAAATAAAACAGAGGAAAACGCCAAGTAAATTACAAAAGTAATAAAGAAGTATACCAAATACAAAATTGGCTTGGGTATGCTATGATACACCATGATACACAAAGCCAACAAATCTATAAACTATAATAATGCTTCTGAAAAGTAATATGGCAACACACAGTAACAAAATAATTATGCTCCTGCCCTGTTAGCCACTGATTTCTCTCTGGAAATTTACTCAACACACACAGTAGTGCTCTGTACTTGGGAGGCTGAGGTAGGAGGATCACAGTGCATTCAAGATCTGCCTTGGATTACACAGTGAGCTCAAGGTCAGTCTGAACTACACAGTGAGACCCTGGCTCCAAAAAACAAAAGCCCCATACCTAAAGATGGCTATTACCACATTCTATATCATGGAAAATACACAACTCCAATCATATCTTTCAGTGAGACAGGGCCTAAGCTAAGTTGCACAGGCTGGGCTTAAACTAGTGATTTTGTCTCAGCCTCTCAGAGCACTGGAATAACAGGCATGCACCACCACATGATGATCATTTTGTTTTGAAGTCTACTCAAGACAAGCAAGGTGAACAAGATGAATTTGTGGCAAAGCTGGGCCACATTCCCCTACTCCAAATCTAAGCTGCCTTCTTTTTACTGCTTCAGTGCCGCTCTTCATATACTAGAAATTATTTTTAGGCTGGAGATATAGCTCAGCAGCACAGTACATGACTGGCAAACAAAAGGTCATGAGTTCAATTCCCAGTACCAAAAAAAAAAAAAAAAGATTATTTTTAGCACACACCTTAATGGGGCATCAAAGCTAGAAAGGTGGCTCAGCAGACTCAGGCAGAAAGAATGTGTTGCAGTCCAGCAGTGCTTCCCAGATGCACACATGCACCCATGTACCTGTGCACATGTGTACACGTGCTCTCATGTTGAGAAGATGCAGCCAGAGCCGGCACTGGAGCCGAAGCTACACCAGTCCTACAACTGCCTTGGACACTGAGCTGTGGCCTCTCTGTAAGCCACATGGATAGATAACATAATCCTTTTACTCATGCTCTCTCAACCTAGGATTCTATCCTGGGAACCACTTGCCAAGGTGAAAATGACTTTGCCTCAACATGATCACCCACAGTTCCTCCAAAAGCAGCAACTAAACCAACAAGGATATAGTCCCCCAGTTACAGGATCAAGCAAGCTAAAGAGAACTTGCAAAACGTCTGAAAAATGAAATTAGAATTTGAAGACACTTAATTTGTCCCCCCCCCCCTTTTTTTTTTAAAGAGGCAGAGTCTCACGGATGTAGTTCAGGAGATTGGTCCTGAACTCACTATGCAGCCCAGGCTGACTTCAAACTTGCAGGATCCTCCTGCCTCAGGCTCCCCGGTGCTGAGTACAGGCATGTGCCACCCCCGGTGGCTATCTTCCTTGATTAGAAGGTTAGAAGGACTAAACTAGTCTACCTCAAGACCTGGACTGACCACCCTCACTTTCAGCCAGGACTAAGTCGTGTACATGCTCCCTACACATCCTCACCTAACCTTTCCAAATTCCTGAAGGTTGGGTTAAAAAAAAAAATTACTGAGTTAATGAGGAGCTGTTCATCTAACCAAATATTCAAAGAAAAAGCATCCAAAGAAATCTCTCTTCTGCCAAAGAATTCCCAGTGTCATTTGTAAACATAAGATTTTTGTAATTGAAATCTCACCCAGGCCCATAGAAGCATAAGAGGTTGCTTTTAGATGGAAAAAAATAGAACTTGGAATCTCCATATTTAATTATGCCTTTGCTGGTTCCAAGAGAGTAATTACAGCAGCAATTACAGAATCTAATAACCAGCTTTATTGGCTCTGAAAGCTGAGGCAAAAACAACTTCAACCATGTTGAAATAAACATTGGTCTCCAGACAGTTGCTTCATTAGACCCTCCCAGCAGCTATTTAGGGGAAGACACAGAAGAGATAATCCTCACAGAAGCAGGGATCAGTCAGAAGGCCTGCACCCAAGACCAGAAACACCTACTGCAAGGCATCTGTTAGCAACGAAACTGTTTTCAGAGAACAAATCAGTTCAATACAGCTGGACACACCATTCCTTTCTCCCAGGATAAGACCAACTTGACTTCTCCTTGAGAGTCCAAGGAGAAAGTCAAGTCTGCTGCCCTGCAATATTCAGTATACTTGGGGGGGGGGGGGGACAGAGCATCCCAACAGATACTAAGCAGTCAGGACCACACACTCCCTACTAGCACAGAAACCAGGTATGGAGGGAAGGGGGCCCCAGGTAATCTGCTCTCACCAAATGGATAATGAAGTCTTCAGTCCTTTGAAGAAAATTCTACACATTAAGTCATATGGCAGAAAGTGCTGGGCCAGGAGGGAAGAAGTGTGCAGGCTCCTTTCTGCTCTCCGCATGAACAACACAGTAGACACAAACACACTCCAGAGAACACTTATAAACCCAACATGGGACCCAGCGTAAGTGAGAATTCTAAGAACCTCAGCAGCCCAGGTGCACGCAGCAGGGCCTCTGGCAAGCAGCGTAACAAAGGAGTCTGAGGGAACCCTGCTTTCCTTGCCTCGTGGCATTGCTCGGAAGTTCCTGGTTCATTCTGCCTGTGAATCAACTTTGTATGTTCAGGGAGCCTTCAACCAGAGGTATGTGTGTGGAGGGGGGTTCACCTGTTACCCTCTGTAAGTATGTGAGCAAAACATCAAAACCACAAAGTTAACCAATGTTGAAGAAACCCATTCCTGTTGGTACTGTTATGAGCAGCCAGCGCTGTACTACACATCAGAGATCCCTATCCAGTAAGAGTTAGAATTAACATTAAGGGCAAGGACTCTTGCAGGTACTGAAGTCCAAACCCAATCATTAGGTAAAAGAGAAATGAGAGTCCCATTTAAACAGCACATGGTGGCACATGCCTGGTTTTTCTGAGGCAGGAGGATCATAGCAAGTTTAAAGTGAGCCTGGCCCTAGTTAGTGAGACCATGGCCCCCAAACTCTCCCAAAAAGGGTTTCTAAAGATGACATAGCCTGTCTAGACCCTGCAGCAAATCAGAGAAAGAACCATGACTAGAAATCAGGATGCATCCACCCCAAGGCTGTTGTAGCCACCTCAATCTGTTGTTTGCAAACTAATTTACTGGAAATAAAGTAGTAGCTCCCCCTGCCATAAAGAAAAGTCTTCCTAATATTCTTTTGTCCCATCACCAAACTCTGCCCCCTTTGCAAATCTATTTGAAAGTTCATGCTGACATGTGGAAGAACTGGAAAGCTATTAGATTTGCTCTCCTAAGTCCCTAGCTAAAAGAAAAAGAATGGAAAACAAGTGTTGGCCTGGGCTGAGGGTATTTTCCTCAGAAGGATGCTGTTGACTCTGCCTGTGGTTCCAGAAGCAACAGAGTAGAGCTCTCTCTACCCTGTATGACATGGCAGGAATAGGGTGGACCTATAAGGCTTACAGAAAAATCTAAGAAACCAAAATGCCTTTGAAGCCCAGACAGAGGATATTTTGTGTCCACTGCCACAAAGACAGTGCCCTGAGCTCACCTACAGGACAGGGCCTCACCCTGCCACAGTCTTGGCATGCTGTCCCTGACACTGCTGTATTTATTCTCGCCAGAGGCACAGACACGTTTTTCAGAGCAAAGCTCCTTCACTGTGATGTATCTCCCTGTTCCCCTAATTTGCTCTCCATGGCCTAGAGCTAATGTGCTTCATTTAGAGATGGTAAAATAAGTACTTGTATGTGACCAGGAAATCAGAATCTGAAACCTTGCTGACTTCATCAGCAAATACACAGGGAGTACAGAACTTGCTGTAAGGGAAAATTGTAGAGAGAAAAAAAGAGGCCTCTTAACTTAAACAAGGCCAAAGACAAAGGAAGTTCCAACTTTTTTTTCAGTACTCAGGACTGAACTTTGCACCAAGCCTTATCCCCAGTTCTTTTTTAAAGCCCTTTATTTGCAGTCCTCCTGTCTTAGCCTCCCAGAATGCTGGGAGCACAGGTATGTGCCATCACTCCCAGTTAAGTTCCACCATGAACACTCTAACAGAGACCACACTGCTGCAAAATCATCTAAACAGCATGTACAATGTATGTTCTGGGCCTAGCATGGGGCTCAGGGATAGAACATTTGTCCAAGTTGTCCAGCTTCAAATTTCAGTTTCACTGTCAAGTCCCTCAAGCAGATTACATACTGTCACTAATCCTTGTACAACATCTACTTCACAGGATTATTGTGAGGATAAGAATAAGACACATAGTGATGTGCACCAAGTGCTCCAGAAACGTTGTCACTGGGCGCTTATAACTGAAGGACTTCTCAGTGCCTCTCTTAGTGGGAAAAGAACATCCACACCGCTGCCACCACCATGCACTTCCCACCAGGGGAGGCAGGAGAATACAAAACCCCAACAACACACACACACACCTAACACTGAAACACAGCTGGGGAACAATGAATTTAAAACCACTTTGATCCTATATGACAGCTTTGTCACCCTATTCTCTTGCCTAAACCCTATCAGCACTGGGGAC